CACCAAGAATGACCCCTGATATTTTAGTTTCCATTTCCTGTAACTAGTTATATAGTTATCATATATAAAATACATTTTTATTATAAATTGCATCAAACAGTCAGTTAATGTGGTTTAAATAATTTCAAACCTCACAAAACCGTTCTGCTTACAGTAAACACATTCGGTAGTCTGGCGCTCCGTTTACAACGGGATTTTTTTTGAACGGAACTTGGCGCCAAATTCTACCGAATTTGTGGATAACTCTAAATTTTTATTTAAAAATGTTTAATTATTACAAAATTATTAACAATCTCGTAGAACACTAAAAAAAATTTCTCCCTTCATGGTCGGATCGATAACTCAAAAACGGATAATCTGAAAAAAAAAAATTCCAAACAGCTTTTTAATCAATAAGGATGTAGTAATCGTTGCACGTACGGAATTTTGAAAATTTTAATTTTCAAAAAAATTGAAATTGATTGAAAATTTTCTCATAATTTTTATTGTTTTTTTTTTAACCTTGCTCAAAAAATCTTTAAAATCAAAAAAGTTTTTTAATTTTGATTTTAAACATTTTTTGAGCAGGGTTAAAAAGAAACAGTAAAAATAATGAGAAAATTTTCATTGAATCGCAATTTTTTTGAAAATTACAATTTTCAAAATTCCGAACGTGCAACGATTACTACATTCTTATTGATTAAAAAGCTGTTTGGATATTTTTTTTCACATGATCCGTTTTTGAGTTATAGATCCGACCATGGAGGGGGAAATTTTTTCGAGTGCTCTACGAGATTGTTAATAAGTTGTAATAATTAATAATTTTTTAATTAAAATTTTGGGTTATAATCTTTAATGTATTCTTACAAAATTATAAACAAATGCAATCCCTAAATTCTTTTATTTTCCCTGTCAAAAAAATTCCCGAAATTATATTTTGTTTTTTCGACCGTCACAGTGGTGTTCTCCGTTAATTATAAAAATATATAATATATTAATAAATTAATTACAAACCTCAAAGGTACCATCCATGTAAATATTATTACTTTTCTGTAATACTTCGAGCAATGCATTTCTTGTGAATATTATAGCCGTGTCTCCATTACTTTGAACGTAATCCGTAGCAATGCCGTTTTCTTTGAGAGTTGAACCTAGCTCCGAGAGTTTCGACGGTATTTTCTGTCGACTAGCTGCACGCGCTCGCGATAAAATACTCGAGCAAGAGTTAAAATTGTGCTTTGCACTTAATTCTGGAAATCTATAAACAACAATGATATTAAAGTTAGCTGTCACTTGACCATTATTTAATTTTATTTGACAAAAAAAATTGTTCCGAAAATTATTTTTTTTTAAATTGCATTTTTAATTTATAAAATTTTTTAAATATCATTTTTTTTTCAATTTTTTATCCAGTAATTTATTTATTAGAAAAATTCTTAAAATTATTAAATATCTGCTAAATAAATTTTCATAAATAATAACATATAATTAATTAGAGTTAATTACATTTTATAATAAAATTAAGAATTTTTCTTAACTATAAAAATGAATAAATATAAATACATTAATAAATGAAACTTACGGTCGACAGACATCATCAAAGATTTCTTTTAGACCTTCATTCGTCTCCTCACATCTTTTTATCATAATGTTAAGAAGAACCGACCACTTATCTTTATCTTCATCAGCAAGATCAGCATGATGATTTTCTACTACGAAATCTTTACCTTCTTTCATGCCCGAGCATTCTTCAATATCAATAATAACTTTAGAAAAGTTCAGATACGCTGTGCATGCATACGATTTCTTCCTCGAGCATCGAAAAATATGGGTGCTTTGGCAATCTCTAGCATATGTATGCCCATCATGAAAGATCACCTTCGATCCTTTCTTTTTACCCGGTATAACCCTCATATTTAAAGTTATAAATCACAAATCAAAAATCACATATCAAAAATCACAAATGAAAATAATATTAACTTAAGTAAGCCCAACAAATAATTTTAATAATAATGTATTGATTTATAGATCGTAATTAAATATTTAAAAATTCATTAATTTTAGAAGTTATGTAGGATTTAGGATTTACTTTATAAATAACAGACAGTCGTTGTCATAATAAGTTATCACGTTCTTTTATTTTTAGATTGTCATATGTTTACATAAAAAACAAATAAATTTTTTTTATTTATTAATTATTATTATTATTTATTTTTTTATTTATTTATAAATTTAATAAAAGTAAACTTGGGTGTCTTAAAAATAATAAAAAAATTTTTTTTAAACGAAACAGATAAACGAAGAGACCGGATGTCCGAAGTGTGAGTGCCATGACCCGTCTCACAACGTGACCTGTCCAGGAGTAGGACAAACATGTGAGCTAATTGAATCTTCTTGTGCGCGACCACCGAGACCTCCTGCCCGCCGATGTACCGATGCCTGGTGAAACCGAATCAGGAGTACGGACTCTGCTGTCCGTTGACTCTAAACTTGGAGCGACCTGGAAAATGCCCGCCAGAAGAGCCAGCTGTCTGTGGCCCGACGTGTCAGCATGACATGGACTACTCCGGACCGCAAAAGTGCTGTGAGAGTGACTCTTGCGGCGGAGGTGTTTGTTTGCTTCCTGTCAGGCTGAGCGCCTACCGCAAAAACCGGATGCTCGCCGAGATGCTCAGCGTTTCCGAGAAGCAAGGCCGCGGGTACATTCCTCAGTGCAACGTGGCCGGTAGATACGAGCCAAAATAGTGCTCCAGAAACGGGTTGGTATGCTGGTGCGTCCGCGTCGACGGTAAAAAAATTTCCGGCACCATGGGACCTGCTGCCGCTGTTAATTGTAATCAAGTTACTGATAAATCTAAAGGACGTGCTCTGCCCACCTCATGCTCACTCTATCACTACGCTCAAGTGTGTCAGTACGGATTTAAAGTCGATGAAGCTGGGTGCTCTACTTGCAAGTGTAATAATCCTTGTGAAGGGTAATTTTTTTTATTTTTGATTTTTTTAGACAAATTAATTATAAAAAAATTATTGTAAGTTTTTATTTATTTATTTTTCTTTAGTAATAGTTTAATTTTTAATGATAATTTAATAATTAATTTAATATTATTAATAATTAATAATTATTAAGGAAAAAGAAATTTGGTAAATAATATTTGATTTAATTGATAAATTTTTTTTTGAAAAATACATAAAAAAAAAATTAACAATTAAAAAAAAATAAATTTGATTATCACAATTTTCAAAAAAATTTATAAATTTTTTAGAAAATGGTGATTTTCTACTTTTAATTTTTTTTAATTGTTCGTATTTTTTATGTACTTTTAAAAAAAAAAAAAAAAAAATATACATAAAAACATCAAAAAAAGATAAAATAGAAATTTTATCCATAAATATGAGAGCCAAAATTTTTTCCAACTTTTGAAGGCAAAAAAGCTATAAAAATCTTATTTTTTTATTTTTTTTCGTAACATTTTTTATTATAAATGCGCCGTAAAAACAAGCAGAATAAAAAAAAATTATTAAAAAATGTTTTTCACTAAGTTATGGCCAAAAATAGGGTGAATCTTACATTTATTTCTAAATAATTAACAAAAATTTTAATTTTTAATAAAAATTTTTTTTTTTTTTTTATGTTAACATTTTGATTGATAATTTTGTAACTCGTTAAAATTATTATTGGAGTAAAATTAAGTATAGCTTTAAAAAAACCTGTCGGACTGACCAGGTTGTTTGAAAATCTGAGGATGCTACCGCATGCACCGGAGGTTCAAGTTCAGGCGATTCCGGAGAATGGCGCTAATATTAACGACTCGGAGGTTGAGGAGAAGGTTAATCTGGATGAAAGACTGCCTCAGAGGGATATTGACAAGAGGATCCAACACGAAAATGAGTACAGTGACCGCGAGGATGAAGGCGAAGGCGGCAGCAGGGACAATAGGTCTTTTAAGGGGTCAAGGAAGAGACCTAGGTTGGAGAAAGAACAGGAACCTATGGAAACTGACATTGAGAAAGCGGATGACATCAAAAATGGAGCTAATGGTTGGTTTTTTTTTGTTATTTATAGCATTGAGAAAAGGAAATTTTTTTATAATTGAAAAATGACATTTACCTTGTGAACGATTGACGGTTTTTAAGATATAAGCTCATCCTGATGTTGCACTCATCGAGAGCTTTAATTTGAGTACCCACATGCATTTTTGATAAATTTTTCATATATACATATATATGATATATATAAATATATGAAATGTTGATGTGGGTATTCAAATGAAAACTCTTGATAAGTATGATATCGGGATAAGCTTATGTATTTAAAAATGTCAATATTTAAGAAAGTACAGTGCAATTTAACGAAAATAATTGAAAAATTACTCTGTATTTCGTGAACTATTGACATTTTAAAAGAAATAAGCTCATCCTGATGTCACGCTCATGAAGAGCTTTAATTTGAGTACCCACATAAATATTTCATATATTTTATATATTATATATATGTATATATGAAAAATATATAAAAAATGCATGTAAGTACTCAAATGAAAGGTCTTGATGAGTGTAACATCGGAATGAGCTTATATTTTTAAAAATATAAATATTTAAGAAAGTACAGTGCAATTTAACAAAAATAATTAAAAAATGACCTTGTATCTCGTGAACTATTAACATTTTTAAAGATATAAGCTTATCTTGATATTACGCTCATCGAGACCTTTTATTTGAGTACACATTGAGCTACTATTTTATGTAGTAACGACTTTTATCATTTTTTTAAGTGTAGTTTTTAGTTTTATTGATTTGTTATTGCAATATTTAAAAATTTTTTTTTAATATTTTTTTAGATGTAATTTTATTAATAAAAAAAAAATTATTGACGGTCGGCTAATTTACGAAAATTTATTTAACATATGTACTAATTTTACGAATTTTATAACAAATAAATGGAGTAAAAAAATAAATTTGAAAAAAAAATTGACAGTTCAAATTAAAAAAAAAAAAATGAAATTAAAAAAAAATTTTTTTTTTTGTAAAAAAATTCGAAATACAGATATCTACGTAATAAAAATAATAATTATAATTTACATATTTAAAAAAGCAGTGTGAAGTAAGTGTTACATAATTAATGTTACAATTGTTTAATTTTATATTTTCTTTTGTTTTCAAGCATCACCATTTTAGAAGCGTCACAGCGTTTATCTGTCACAGAGAGTCTATCTGGCAAAAAATTGCGTACTACAAGATGACCAATTGTAAGTTGTCAATTAAATTAATATTATTTAAATATTTAATATTGTTTTAATAAGTTTATAATTATTTTTAATTAAAATTACAGGGACACAGCAAGAAGACATTGCGCTGATGAATCACCGGCTGATGAGGCATGGAAATGCATTCATTTTCAACAAATTACGGGATGAGGAATTGGACGTTTGGCTGTAAGTTTGATATATTATTATTATTATCATCATTTTTATTATATTTAAGGTATTTAATATATCTATATGTGCAGATAAATTAACATTAACAAAATATATATATATATATATAGATCATTTAGAAATTTTAACACAATACTTTTAGATATATGTACTTACGAAACAAGTAAAAAAAAATTTTTTTAAAGTTACAAGCCTGAATGACCTCTTAAATCTACTAATTTAGTTCTAAAGAGTAAATATGAAGCCGTGAATCTTGAAATAACCGGACAGTGGGCTTATGATTATTTGATGTAGTTCTGGTCATGTCACAGGTCTGGAACGAGTAGCAGAAGAGTTGATGGGCCGTAGGAGATGGAAGCAGTATCAGGATACCCTGTACAGCAGCACTCGCAGCGAATCAGCTACGCAGCCACATCATCGGCTTTATTCGACGTTTTCAACGGTCGGAAACTCAAGTACCGGGAGTTTGAACCAGGTGAGCCACCGAACGTCACTAGGCCCAAGCCCAACGGCAACAACAACTCCGGAATCAATAGTTACGAAACAACTTGCCGATCACAAAAGCGACGAAAGTCAGCATTGTTTCAAACCCGAAGACATAAAGCTCAAGGTCGAAACGGCAGTAGACAAAAACGGTATTTTCTCAGAGTCTTTGCAACATGGAGAAGTTTTTGTCAACTTAAAACAGAATTCAAATCAACGATTAGACGACGAAAAGATCGAGAAGAAAAACAACGAGAACGATTTGGAGAGTGTGGACATAAAAGTCAATCTCGAAGACGAAAAGGTGACTGCGCCAGTCAGCCCGTTACGAGAAAACAACAAAGGTGCAAAAGACGAGCCTATAGATACGACAGAGACAAAGGTAAATTTTAAATCATTTTTACCTGTTATTATTTTAATCGTAAAGTACACATCAAATTATTCGACCATTTGTTCGGTAGACAAAAAGGGTAAGTTATAAGGTTTACATGAACATCAAGCTAACGGGTATTCTTTTCCCTTGGTACACGTTCTCATAAAAATTTCAACTGTATTCTGTTACCTTTTTGCATCAATAAAAAATTTACTTTATACAAAATATTTATTGTCATACACTGAGAGAAAAAATTTATTTAGATAAAAATGAGTAATGTTGAAATATAAAATTAATTTGTTGAAAATTTTAAACAATTTTATTTCTTAGCTGAAGAAATAAAAATTTTTTTAACTTTTTTGTTGAAAGATTTTAGATTTAGGAAAAATAATTTTGAATGAAAATTCGCAAGTTGTCCATTTAAAATTAATTTTCCAAATCAAAAATTTTTTTCAACAAAAAAATTACTGTGAAAAAATTTTTATTTCTTCAGCTAAGAAATAAAATTGTTTAAAATTCTTTACAAATTTTTTGTCACAGCAATGGCTAAAAACCGACGAAAAAGAAAAATATGGTAGTCCTCCAAAAGATTGATATATGTTTCTTAAGTTATATTCTTCTTAATTTTTTTATTTGATTTTTTATGCATTTAGGTAGATATTTTTGGATATATATCATAAGCGAAAAGAATTTTACTGCTTTAGTTACTGTTAATAGGAAATGATCTATTACTTTAATCGTTATTTTGTATTAACTATACATTTTTTCTCAAAAATAAATTATTTAATTTCCTAATAAAGAATCAAGAAGCTCGAAAAAGAAATAGTTCAACGTTTAAAATTGAGAAGTTTATATAGTTTTGAAAAAATATGGATAACTTCAAGGAATTCTTCTTGAGAATTTTATTAAAAACCGCAAAAATGATAAGTTATGAAGCTAAGTCGAATTTAATTCTAGATCTTTGTAAATCAATAAGTCGAATATTTTTGAAAAACAAAATTTTTTACTTTTAAATAATTACCCGATGCTAAAAATCTCTACTGATCTTTGGCTTTTTACTTTTTAACTTTTTTTTTTTTAAATTCTCGATCGTCTGTCAGATTTGACATCGCGCGATATTTATCACCAAAAGTAGTATTTTATTTGGTACATTTGTTCTACATTAATTTTATTTTCATATGATTAAATTATTTCAAAAATATATCTAAGTTAGTCAGAATTATTCGAGCTTTAATTTAAAAACAAAAATATTTCTTTTCCTAATATTGGATATTTGAAATTAAATTGTACTAGTTCTTTTTACCCTCATTGCTGTTATAGTAATATGGTTTAGATGTTTGCCCGTGAAGTGTTAACGTTAAAAACGATCAATTTATTGATTAATTTTATTCAATATTGAAAAAAATTTTCTTAATCTAAGTATAAACTATTTTTTTTTTTTATTTTTTAGGAACAGGTGACAGAAAATTTATCGAACCAAATACAAGGATCACCGTGTCTATTGCGGGTAAAGAAAGAAGAAGAGCTCCAAGAATTACCGCTACAAGTGAATTGTGGCGAAACAATCAGAAGCGTCACAGATTCCGAAATAAACAAATCAGCAACAGCAATAGGAAGTGCAGAAGAACAACAAGCATCAATAGGTTGCCCACCGTTACATTTCCATCGGCACACCAGTCCACCACCAGAGGACTGGAAACCTCTAGACAAGTGTTGCTTATGTCTCGATGGAAAATTATTTCACGAAGATCAACCTCCTCTTGTTAGTTATCATTTCTTAACTTTTAAATTAATTTTATTAAAATACATAATATCAACATTTACAGTTTATTCTTAATTAATTGTTTGTTACAGAGTCCTCAAAGCGAAAGCAGCGGTAGTTCGAGATCTGCAGAGTCACCCATGTCTGTGCAAGTCGACCCGATGGCAGCCTCCGTGGTTGCAGCCGCACTCAGCGGAACATATCCGACCTTATTGCCACAGTGGTGTCTACCACCGAGAGAAACACCTCTTATGGTTGTACAATCTCTTCAAGAAACCGGCCAGTTGTCCGATCAACCACTTGATCTCTCAGCAAAACCGAAAAGTTCTCAGGTTTGTCATTTAAAAATTATTTTGCAGATAATCTAAAATTTTTTTTAAAAGATTTCTAACAAGCGGTCAAAGTTTTCTTTACTGTTAAGTTTTTTTAAGTTAGTTGTCGTGGTTAAGGCATACTCTCAAAAAATTCTAAATTTTTGTATACTTTTATTAAAGACATGATGATACAATTATCCTAAAAATTTGAAGTCGATTGATTACCAATAGCCCGAGATGAATTTAATTAAAAATTGTATATTTAACATTGATTGCATACGCTCTCTGCAGTTCTGTACCAGTTTTTCAGTTATAAAAAATAAACTAACTGTTAGAAACTTTAAAAAAACTAAAAAACTGACAGTCTTTTCATGTATTTGTTGTGAGTTTAAAGAAAAATAAAAAAAAATCTTTTACCATCTAATTATTTATAAATGACGGATTAAAGTTCAACAATTTATGAAAAAGTATATATCTACGGAGTCGGACTGAAACAATTGTGTGGGTTGTTTCTCCACGGGTACAGTCTCATATAATTTTGCAGCGCGTATAATCTCTAATTTTTTGACAATATTGTACCATGACAACTACCTTAAGGGGGATAGCCACTTTGACGGCCAGAAAAATAAGTGATTTTCGGGAATTTTTTTGATCCGGAAAATAAATAAATTTAGAGATTTTTTTGTTCTATTAAATGTCCATTAAAAATTTATATCCTTAATTTACATTAAGAAATATCAAATCGTTACAAAGTTATTAAAATTCTTGTCCAGCCGAAAAAAAAATTCTTCAACCATGGTTCCATCGTTATCTCGAAAACGAGTCTTCCGAAAAAAAAAATTTTAGTTACGTTATAATTTGTATATAAATATGGTTATCGATGCACACAGCCGATTTCTTAAAATTTTGATTTGAAAAAAATAAACAACTGATTGAAAATTTTTTCATATTTTTGACTTTTCCTTTAGATTGATATTTGTTTTAGCGAAAACGGTCGGTCTACCTGCTCTCACTAAAGTGACTTTATCTTCGAAAATTTTCGAAATTTTTATCTACAATTTTATACACATATTTTTTGAGTATATAAATTTTGATTTAAAGAAAAAAAAATGAATTTTTTTTATTTGTACAGTAGCTCTCCCTCTTCAAAAGGGCAAAAATTAAAATTTTCCGTGCATCCATATTAAAAGACACCAATAGGTTTTATGGCTATTGGTTTCTTTCTCACGCAATAGTGCTGCCTCTCTTTATAGACTATCGCTCACTTACTTCCACTCAATCATTTTTTATAAAAAAATGAATACCGCCCGCTTATGTTATTTTTGATAAAAAATACTTGTTATAACTTCAATTAAATATTCTCAGTTTTTCAAAAAAATCCTAAGAAAAGTATGGTTGTTATTCAATAAAATGTTCACTCTAACTATGGTCAGGATAGGGAATACATGTTAGATATACGATTTTTAATTGCTAATATTTCGAAAATTAGCACTGCAAAGACTATTAAAAAAAAATTTATTCGTATAGAGGACACTTAAAAGTACGCGTATTCAAAAATTGAAGAATATTATAAGAAAAGTGATTTTTCACGGAACCTCCTATTAATAATTTATTAAGATCATCATAAAAATTATACAAAGAATTTTATTTTAGGAAAACAACATATCTGTGCTGGAACAACAAAAAATACCTCTGAGAATGCCGACAGGGTTAGATCCTAAAAGTTTATTTGCGTAAGTATTAATTTTTTTTATATGACCAAAAAAAAATAGTTAACTATCTAAATAAAGTTTTGCATTTTTATACTATTAAAATTGTAGGAAAATTACTTTTACTTGCTTGAATATGATAACTCATTTCGAGTAAATGTAATGTAATTTTCGCCGTTTTTAATACCGCGAAGGAAAATTTTATCTGGTACCAAAAATAAGTCTAAAAAAAAAATTATTCTAAATTCTGTATTTTTCAATAATTCAGTAGCTGGTGACCTCAAGTATTGACATCTATTGAAAAATTGAACAAAGTTTTATAAGCAATAAGTAACTGCTAAATAATTCGATACAAAAAGTTTTATGAACTTTAGTAATTCACATTTTTCTTGTTAAAACCATAAAATATATTTATAAGTATTCATGCATAATAACGAAAAATGTAGACCTAAATTATTATTATTAGTTAAGAAAAATCCAATAAATTAGTAGCGAAAATTGTATTGCTTTTGTATCGTGAATTTTCATACCCCGATATTTTAGCGCGTAAAATTTTTTATCGTCTTCTATTATTAGCTGCACTGTAATCTGTACCTCCTGACTTAACAAAAGAGTGAAAGAGTTGTGCAACAACCGGCAGAAGAATAAGAAAAAGATAGCAAATACTCAAGCTGGTTCATACCCGCTAACCGATAAGATTACAAGAGAGTAATGTCTTTCACCTCGAAATTCGTTAAAGACTCATTCGGTCGGTTCAACTCCCTCGTCGTTTCCAGTACGTTTTATAAAAAAGTTTACAATATTAAAACGAAATAAAATAAATATTTAGCAAAACAGATGCTCAAGTTCATTCACTTAGCAATTGATCATGGGTGGATGCCTTGATATCATCAGCCAAATACAAAGTTTACCAAACTGGATACGTACTTTTATCAGTATAAATTCAGAGTCAGGCAACGCGCAACATGCTCTCGAGAACAATGCACTCACATTATATCTCATATGAAGGACAAGATTTTAAAGTTAGCCCTGGGTTCATTTACACTTAATCTTATCACCTTTTATTTAAAAAAAAACTTTGATACTTTGTGTATCATTTTTTTTTTATTTATATTTTTAATTGTTAAAATAACTTTGAAAGAATATCCAATCGAATAAATTTATTAAAAGATTATTTTTTTTTTATATTAAAATATTTTATTTGGCAAAGAATTTTGAATCATGAAAAACTAAATCAATTTAATATTTTTCGAATATTTAATATAATAGTACTTTTATCAAAGCAAAAAATGATAAGAGTATTGATATTTGATATTTATTAATCCTGACGTGCATAGATAATATTCTGAAAGTGATTTTATCATTTTTTAGTTAGTTTTAAATGTTTTTATTAATCATAAGAAGATGAAATATTAGATAAATATATTGTGTGATTTTATCGTGATTTGATTGGGAATATAAAATATTTGAGTTAACAGAATCTGGAAATACTTATTTCAAATGATCAAGTAGGAGCAAGTTCATATTTCATAAAAAATTTTATATTTATAGACTTACAGAAAAATTAAAAAAAAAAATTATCGGTTTATTTGCGTCATCCTGATTTTTCGTATAATTAACAGCCGATTCCCTCTTTTTCTCGCGTCGCACTCACTGCAAGAAACGGTACTATCCTTGTTGCACTCATGATTGTAAAGCTAATGCAGTTTTATATTTTTCTTTTAACCAAATGAGAATTTTGAAAAAAACGCTATGATACCAAATAGATAATTAAAAAATCTATTACATAACAGAGCGTTTTTTTTCAAAATTCTTCTTTTTAAGGAGAGAAATATAAAGCTTCAATCGTAGAGACCGGCTGTTAAGAGGTAGGGATCCATGCTAAAAGGGCGCATAAAAAAAATTTTTTTTACTATTTGTTTTAAAATTGTTCAAAACACAAAGATCCGTAAAAAATTAATTTGAGCATCCTAAAGCGAAAAGATCGCATCTCAACTCATGCGCTCTTTAAGCTTTTAGAAAAAAATAGTGTCTCATAAAATTTAACTTTATTGCAAAATGTTGACAAATAGTTTGACAATACCAGTTAGATCTAACAAATAGTTTAATATACAAAGCTCAATTGTTATAAAAAGGAGCAAAATAAAAACAATTATTAAGTTGCGTGGTTACTCAGTTTCTGAATATTTAATTCACATGACTAACATTTTTTTGACCTACGACACATTTTTTTTTCAAAGTTTATTAAAAATTAAATAATAAAAAAAGTTAGAATATCAATTTTTTATTTAAAAAATTTTTTTTCATTAAAATTATAAAAAAAAAACCGAAATTTACAGATTTATTTCCTTTAATTATTCTTGGATTATAGTTACGCCATAAATCAAAATAATTTTTTTTTTAATCCAAAAATGTTCATTTTTTGAGCTTTTATATCTATAATTTGTAATATATTTGATAATTTTAAATACATTAATTTTAATTATATATTAAAATTTAAATTTTTATATATTAATTTTATATTTAATAATTAATAATATATTTTATCATTTTTTTAAAAATATATCTAATTTTGATACATCCTTTTATTTAATTTTCAGGGTTAAGATAAACATTCTAGTAAATTACTCAGGAAAAAAAATTGATAGGCCTTTTTAGCTTAAAATCATAAAATTTTTTAATTCTTAAAAGTAAAAGGGCGCACAATTAAATACATCCGCTCTTTTAGCGTTTGATTAAATATTTGATTAATATTCGTAGAATATGTCTACTCAGTAAAAATTTTTGCGTCATTGCGTCAAAAAATTTTGTGTTAAAATATTTAACACTTTTTCGTGTATATTCAACAGAATAAATGTTAAATTTACACATAATAGTGTTAAATATTGAACACAAAAATTTTTAACACTAAGTTTTTTGACGCAATGACGCAAAATTTTTTACTGTGTACCAGTCGAATGGCGAATACACAAGAAAAATATATTTGATAAAAAAAATTAAAATGAATAAATTTTATTAAACAGCTCATCTTTCCGCGCCAAACCAAGATTGACAGGTCCAGTTGGAGCAGGTGGTGTGTCTGTAGTAGGTGGTGGAAGGCGAACTTACACAGAAGAAGAGTTACAAGCTGCACTCAGGGATATTCAAAGTGGAAAACTTGGAACGCGAAGGGCAGCTGTAATCTATGGAATACCAAGAAGCACCCTACGTAATAAGGTCTACAAGCTTGCAATGGAACGTGAAAGAGACGCGTCTCTGACTAGCACCCACTCACACACCCACGAGTCTGGTGTTTCAGCATCAACCAATACATCTACTACCTTATTAACAACAACAACAATAACTACAACAACAGCAACAACACCATCTACACCAAATACGACCCAAAATGCCTCCGCAAATACTCCGTCCTCGCCAATGGATGAGGTAGGTTTTGGGGATGAAAAAATTTAAATTTAACAAATAAATTATAAATAAATACTATGGGAGAAAAGTTTTTTTCCAAGTTCTATTTATTACATTGAGATATCTATAACATACTTTCATTTAAGTTTATCCAGAATTAGAATTTTTCTAGTATTTACAATTTTTTGTCATTAATTTTTTAAAAAATAATTATTCTACGGAAATTGGAACTAAAAGCTTATCAAGTTACAAGACTAAATCAGAAGCTGGTAATTTAAGGGTTATAGCCACTGTGACGGTCGAAAAAATCGGTGACGATCGGGAATTTTTTTTATGATCAGGTTTTTTTTTGTTCTATTAAATGTATATTGAAGAATAATATCCTAAATTTTCACTAAGAAATATCAAACTGTAACAAAGTTATTCACATTCTTGTCCAGCCCCAAAAAAAAATTTTCCTTAATGGTCACATCGTTATCTCGAAAACGGGTCATTCAAAAAAGAAATGTTTGTTACGTTATAATCTGTATAAATTTAATTATCAAACGTATAGTCGATTTTTGTATTTTGATTTGAAAAAAAAAATGAGCAACTGATTGAAAATTTTTTCATCTTTTTGGCTTTTTTGGATTCAAACAGCTTTAAAAAATCGTAAAAATGAAAATTTTTTTAATTAGCTACGTGTAACCTTATCCACTGTAAAGACGAACAAAACAAAATTTTGAAAATCGGTTGATATTTGTTTGTGTTATTGATTCGACCATTTTCAACAAAAAAAGTCGTTGTGAGAAAAACGCGTTTAAAGTTTTCAATCTATTTTACTTTAAGTTGCTCTAAAATTATGTATCTCTTGAAATATTTACACTTAAATAAAACTATTCCGTCCTGGGCTATATGAGGGTTGTTTTCCTTATCTCCAGTGGAGTCCATAATTTTTTAAATTTTTTTATTGACTGGATTCGACATTTTCGTCTGAGCGCTGAACGAAAACGGTCGGTTACCTACTCTCAGTAAAATGACTACAACTCTGAAAATTTTCTAAATTTTGATCTAAAATTTTATACACACACAGAAAAAAAAATTAACTCGATTCAAGAGAAAAATTCTTGAACCAAGAATATAATTTTGAAGAGGGATTATCTTGAATCAAGACGAAAAATTCTTGAATTAAGTAATATTTTCTTAAATCAATAATTTTTCTACTCAAACTAAGAATATTGAGCTCTTCAAAAATATATACTTGGTTCAAGATAACTTTTTTTTCTGTGCACATTTTAGAATTTATAAATTTTGATTTAAAGAAAAAAAATTTTTTTCTATTCGTCACAGTGGCTATCGCCCTTAAATACAAGTATAGAAACAATTGCTTTCAAATTTTTCAAAATAAGTTTTATTTTCTTCGAAACAGAACAGAAGTCGATTTATTTAAAAATCAATATTTTTGAAAACGTAGGGGAGGGGGGGGGGCAAAATGGGGTACTTAAGCAATCGTTATGATTTTAAGGACTTAAATACGCTGATTTTTCTCGTTTTCAGTCGTAATTAAAGGAAGATAATCAAATTTCAAGTTGCCGTAGAAAAAAAATTTCTTTTTTTTTGCGGGCAAAATGGGGTACTCCCTGAAAGAGTGAAAAAAAAATTTCTTCAGCCGAAAATGAAATATCGTTAAAAAAATAACATTTTATTATCGATAAGTCTACACGGGAAGAAAATTGAAGGAGTTATTACTATTTTACTATTGTAATTTTTACTAAATAAAATAGTAACGGTGGACTATACTTCTCATTTAGTAATTTTTACGATCTACTATTGTAAATTTTATCCAACAAATAAGACTAGCAAGAGTTTTAAAAAGTCGAATACTATAGAGCAAATTATACAATATGTGTCTGTGAATTTTACAATTCAACTATTGTAAAAATTCACAGTTGGTTTTTTTAGAAGAAATATTAGGGTGGGAGAGAGATATAAGGTAGCACGAATTGGTACCTGCACAGTAATCGAAA